ATGTCCTATAGTAGCAGCCAAGTTCCAGACCTTTCAGTAGTCTCCATGGGGATGGCACAACATCAGACTTACTAAGGGACCTATAGACACTGTTTATGACAACTTGATTGTGTAACACTGAAATGTAGGTGCAAAGGAAGACTGGAAAATGGTAAATTGACATTTTTGTTCCTGTTGTCTTCATTACCTGTTCCACATGTAGTGGCAGGACAGGATCAGCACTGAAGCTATCCATAGTGGATCCCAGTGACTGCCAGCATCAATGCTGCTTCACTTTTGGTGACTTCCTTGGGACAGATATAATAAGATGGAAGATGACATGTTACAAAGAAGTTGACCAGAGACTGTCACTACATAGTCAGCACTTGTATGGTTGCCAAAGCTTTGATGGTATGGTCACTTCACCAGTGACAGACACATACTGAACAGCCAGTCTTGCAGAACTACCTAGAGAGCTCAGTCCAGGTGGTGCTTGAACTGCAAAGAGGCTACAACCTTTTTGGATTTGCAATGATGATGATTTTTGAGGGGGTGGGGGTAAGAGGTAAGGGAAAGGAGATATCTTGCTTTGGTCAATTTAGATTGTACGGAAATAAGGTGCTGGCTGAACTTTATCTTTCTACTGCCAATTCTCACGGTCTCATCTCTTTTCTCTATTTTGCCCCCTAGAAACTTTGATAATGGCACCCATGTAAATCTAATAAGTTGCTAAGATTGTTCTCTCAAATGACTCCCATAGTGGATCCCACTTTACTGTAGTTTTGAAGCGCCTTCCCTTCCTATACAGATTGGCTATTTTTCTCTCTTTGCATTCTCTCTAGCTCTCCCTTCCTCCACAAGTACACTTCATTAAAAAAAGAAGACAGATCAGGCTCCAAGTACTTAAAAATCCACATGCATGCCTGAGCTCATGCTTATTTGCACAAAAATACAAAATATTTTTCTTTTAAAAAACATACTAAAAGAGCAACTGGCAGATAAATTAAATATTTAAATGTTAAATAAACATGTTATGTATTGCATATGTTTTGTTTTGATGTGGGAATTCTAGGATATGAGCTACCACATGAAAGCTATTTGAATAGATAAGCAAGGATAAGAAAGCTTGTCTAAATAGTTCATCTACCCTAAGGCTTATCATTCTACAAGAGTGTCAACAGCTGGCATATGAAACAGGATCATTTCAGTTATGTTGCTGTATCTTCCCTAATCAGCATTCCCTTAGAACAGTATTCATTAGTCAATCTGATTGGCTGGTACTTATTGCTAATAATTTAGTGCCTGTTTCTGCAAATCTCAACCCGAGTAATGTGAGTACTCAGGAGTTGATTTACTCCATGTGACTGTCTGTAGGATTGATTACTAGATTATTTAGGAAAAGTGTGAGAACTGAAAATTATAAAAATCAATTTTAAATTGCTTCTCATTTAAAAAAGAATGTTCTAGAATATCATTACCTGTGCTTAACTCTCAACTTGGTTTGGTTTACATTTTTTCAGATAAGTGATAACAATTAAATGCATACACATTATTAAGCCTTCTAAATCTCCAATTATGCATTCTTTTCAAATTGAATCTTCATTTCAGCATAAATTGATATGTTTGATTTAAACATTAGCCTCTCGAACTCAGTAGGATTTAAAATACTCCTGCCTGATACCCCACAGCACATATACCACTGCTATTAGGGTAAGTCTTGCACATAAAATATGCATGTGTAGAATTTGAGCTGTAGTAATTTGAAAACCAACACTTAGACAACTTTGTCATATCTATTACTAAAGAATTCTTCTCTACAAGGCAATATTTATGGTAGTTATATTGTAATTATTGGCAAACCTTAACTTATCTGTTACAGTGATGTCTGGGGTTATTGTGTGCACCTGCAAATGGGCTTTGTGGTGAAATTAGTCCAAGGACATTGGATGTTTTTCATTGGTCAGAGCTGAAAAGGTCCATTTATGAAAATCAAGGCCCTGATTCTCCACTCTTGGTTTTGTTGGTTTGCATGACATAGCTTGTGGATTTTTGTGCAGCTAGCATAGCTGGCCATTTAGGAATGTAGAACCAGTGTAGCAGTTCCTACACCACCCAGCCTGGAGTTGGTGTAGGGAGTACACTAACTGAAAGAGGCCATGGCCAGAATGAGTCTGCTTTCCACTACTCCCTGTACCATGGGGCTTTAGCAGCTGGGACAACTTAAAGCCCAAATCAGACTGCTCCAGTTTACATCCAAGATCAGACTGGAGGTCAGCTTAGCTTTGCAATACAGGTAACCCCCGACTTATGATCCCCCGCGTTTACGACTACAGGCAGTCCCCGACTTACGCGGATCCGACTTACGTCGGATCCGCACTTACGAACGGAGCTTTCTCGCCCCGGAAGTCGGGGCGAGAAAGCCCCGTTCGTAAGCTGCTCCGGTGCCCCTGGTCTGCTGGAGACCGTCTCCAGCAGACCAGGGGCACCGGGCGGGTTCCTGCGCTTCTGAGGCTTTGCCAGAGCAAA